AAACCAAACCGCACCATGCCTGCCCCGAAGATGGCGCGTGCGGCCCTGTTCTGCAGCATCGTGGTCTCCTGCGAGAAGAGTTGCGCTTTTGCATCCACGCTCAGGACATACGGCGCACTGCGGGAGAAGGAGAGGCGCGGAGAGGGGACGGGCCTGAAGAATCGACGAGAAACAGGAGAGGGGGAGAGAAAGGGGGTGGAAAGGTGTGCAAAGGTCATACATATGGGGATGATCCAAAGAAAGGGTGAGTGGGTCCGTGGTGGGGCATCATACACGCACACGAGCGAGTCAAAAACACACCATATGCCACAAGCATGAACACCCAGCACCAATGTAGACAAAACCACAACCCACAGTCCACAACCCACAACCCACGAAGAACGCACCCGAGGTTGGTGTAGACTTGTGTCTGGAGCAGCACGACGACATCAAGCAGGTAGTCCATCTCCTCACTGATGGCCTCGTTGACAAAATCTTCTAGCGGAATGCGCTCCCCAGCGTTCTTGATCGGTTCGTCAACCTTGCGGCTCACAAGCAGGCGCGGGTCAAAGTTGAAGTCAAACATGTCCTCCTGCTCGCGTTCGGAGGTGCGTCGCAGCGCTGCCACACCATCCATGCTCTCATCCGTCTCGTCGCTGCCAACACTGGTTGGCCCGCCGGTATCGCTGCTGTCGTCATCGCCATCACCATCGCCATAACCACCGCTTTGTCCTGCATCCGTGCCCCCAACGCACGCCTCCTCGTCCTCCTCGTCATTATCACCGCCGCCACCACCACCATCGCCGTTGCATTCGCCATCGCCTTCATCGTCGTCATCGTCGCCAGCATGACGGCGACCGCCACGACCATCGCCACGTTGTGATGCCGCGTTGGCCAGCCCCGGCTCACCGTTGTCTGTGTCTGCACTCGTGTCCATGCCATCCCCCGAAGTCGCTGTCGCTGCTTCTGATGCGGCTGTTGCTGATTGCGCCGTGTCAGTACTGCTTGCTGTGCCGGTTGCTGCATGTGTGGATGCCTCTTCGTCCTTGGCCGTGTCCATGTCGTGCCCGCTCTGCTTGTCGCCCTCCACCTGCACATCCTCCACCATCTTCGTTGCGCCCTGCCCTTCGCCCTCATCACCGCCAGCAGGTGTGCTCGCGCCCACCTCCACCTCGCCCGCGCCGGCAAAGTCAACACCCTGGATGATGGTCACGGGCCGCCGGCGCAGGTTTGAGATGAACAGCATGTCAAGCAGCTGCAGGTAGCACTTGGTCGTCCTGTCCTTGTACATTGGGTGGATCACCACGCCGTGGTAGTCGACAGAGGGCTCTGGGATGCTGAGCACATGGATGGCAAGCGCTGCCTCCACCCGCCGCACCATGTCTGCAAACAGCTCGCGTGGCAACATGGCCAGCACGTGTGCAATTGCGTTTGCGCAGGGAGAGAAGACATAGCGCAGCGTCCGCCCCATCGCCACCACAATCTCCGGCTCCTCGCTCATCCCAAGCACCGTCAGAAACAGCAGCTGCATCGTGCGGGCGTGCGTGTTGTGTGCGTTTGTGGGTGTGTGTGGGGGAGGGGGTTGTGGGTGCGTGTTGTGTGCGTATGTGTGTGTATGTGTTGTATGTTTGTGTGTGTGGGTGCGTGTGCGCGCGCAAGTGTGTGTGTGTGTGTGCGCGTGCGTTTGTGTGTTGTGTGCGTTTTTGTGTGGGTGCATGTGAGTGTGCGCGCAAGTGTGTGCATAGGTGCGTTGTAAGGCACATACTTTCATGCAGCATTGGTGCGGGAGTGGCGAGTCGTGTGCAGGCATGTGCGTGCACGTTACAAGACCGCCATCAGGCAAACAGCACCTACGTTGACAATGGCGCGCAGATTGTTTCGCGAGACGCAGTCGTGCGATTGCAGAATCGTCTTTGCCCGTGCCAGCGTAGTCTTCATCGCTGTCTTCATGGCACTCGTGTTCAGCTCCTGACGTGTGTGCGCGTATGAAGTTGTGTGAGTGTATGAGTGAGTGAGTGAGTGTGTGTGTGTGAGTGTGTGTGTGTGAGTGTGTGTGAGTGAGAGTGAGAAAGGTTGTGTGTATGTGTGTGATGCTGTGTGAAAGACAGGCACACGCGCAATGACAACACGCCATGCATGTATGTTGTGGCTGTTTGAGCTCAACAGAGAACATGTTCATTGCACCCGACTCTCATACTGACAACCACATGCACTGTCCCACACATTCCCAAGACCACGTGTGGAGGGTGCCAATCACCTCAGCATGCTGGGCGTAAAAGTCGCCCATTTCCCGCCAGTTCAAGCGCAGCGGCGAGTCTGCTGTCGACGGCTCGAAAAACAGGTGCCCCAGGCTCGCTAATCGCGGTGCAGTGAGGGGATGGTGGGGAAGGATGAGGGGATGAGCATAAGAGGAAGGCATGAGGGGTTTGGGGAATGGGGGTGCGTAATGTGAGGTGGGTGGTACGGGCGGCAGTGGTGTGACGGGTGCGAGCATTGGAAGTGGTGGCGGTTGTGGTGGTGGTGGGGCTTGTATGATGTGACGGTGACGGTGGGTTTCGAACTGCTTGATCGACGTACCGAGGTGAGAGAAGCACTCAACCATGAACTGCTGCAACTCTGGGCCTGCAACAAAACAAACCGGGGGGAGCGGGGTACGTGCATGAGACAGTGTGCAGACGTACATGTACGGTAACACGTATGTATGTGCTGTTGTGTGTGCGTATGTGTACGCTTGTGTGTATGTCTTTGAAAGTGGACCTGCACAGGTGTGGGTGATGGTGCACACGCAAGTGCGACAACGCTCGCGAACACGACAATGCTCGCACGCACGCACACATGTATGCACGCACACATGTATGCACACCTTTGTGTTTGGTGATGTGTTCCAGGCGAACGCCTCGACGGGTGCTCTGCAACTTTTGCAGACCAAAGCTGTCCGGTGGTGTCAAGCGAGTGAGGACAATGACGACAGACCAGCAGAAACAGAAAGCACGTCACAACATGGAGTGTTGTGTACTCAAACAGTGGGGTGTACTCGTCACGAGCAGCCGCACAAAACAAACCGCCTACACTCATACACGCGCGCATGGGTATGCAGGTGCACAGGGAGGCCTGGCTTACCCTTGGACGGCGGCAATTGCTCGACAAGCAACATCCTTGGGGTTAGGCTGCAGCGGGAACCAGAGGGGCCCGTGAGCAAAAGCACACTCAGCATACGTGCACGCAGCGTACACACACACACACACACACACACACACACACACACACACACACACACACACACACACACACACACACACACACACACACACACACACACGCACGCACGCACACACACACACACGCACACACACGCACACACACACACACGCACGCACGCACGCACACACACACACGCACGCACGCTTGTACGTACCTCTTTACCGCTGGCCTTGTCTTGTTCTGAGAGTGCATCATCAGCAAGCCCAAGTTTGTGAGTGGTATGGCGCGAGACAATGCGGGGACACACACGTGCACACATGCACACGCACACATTCACACACGCACACACATTCACACACGCACACACATGCACATGCACATGCACACACGCACACGCACGCACAGCAGCGTACCCTGGTACTGGAGAAAGTACTGGCCCACGTAATGCTTTGTGAGAAGGCGGCAGCTCCTGTTTACCAACACCAGCGCCACAAGCAAGCACAGGCGTGGCCGCCACAACTTGGTCGTGAGGGTACAGCACACGCGACATCAAGGTGCGCCCAGACAAACGCACACGCACACACACATATGCCGCTAGCACAACACACCCACACAAGCAGGCAACGCGTAGGCGAGCAACAACACCTGTCGACACACTTGAGGAAAGTTGAGTAGTCCTCGGGTGGGATGGGTGTCTTCTTGCTCTTCTTCGAGGTGCCTGACCTCCCACGACCACTTGTGGTGGTCGAAGAGCTCCTCCTACCGTCGCTGGTCTCGCCTTGGGTCGCTGCTCTGCTGCCGTTGTGGTTGCTGCTGCTGTTGTGGCTGCTGCCTTCACGGCCGCCACCATCACCCCCGTCCATGTCTGTCTGCTGTGTGTGTGTGTGTGTGTGTGTGTGTGTGTGTCTGCTGTGTGTGTGTGTGTGTATGTGTCGTCGTTGTCCACAAACACAAGCAAGAAGTCAGCAAGAAGGAAAAGGAGAGAGGAAATGCAAACAAAACAATGGTTGCTTTGTGTGTGTGTGTGTGTGTGTGTGTGTGTGTGTGTGTGTGTGTGTGTGTGTGTGTGTGTGTGTGTGTGTCTGTGTGTGTGTGTGTCTGTGTGTGTGTGTCTGTCTGTCTGTTTGTCTCTCGGTCCATGCCGTACTTTGCTCATGAGCCACTCGCTTCACAGCTTCAATCACTCATTCATATGGCAAGCAAGCCCACAAATGCTATGCTATGTTCACACACAAGAAGACCAAACACAACAGCCAAAAAGGACACCCCGCACACACACGAACACGCACGCGATAACACACATGACCACGCACGCATACCAAGCACACAACAACACGCATACACAAAAACACAACAAGACGCATACACAAACACATACACACGCACACTCACAATCACACCGTCACTCCTTGACGCCCTTGCCGTTGCCCTTCCACGGCTCCAAGAGAGTGACCTTGCAGCCAAGGTCCCGCAGCGCCGCCTTTGCGTCCTCATATGTCTCCTTGCGTTCCATGGCAACATTCAGATAGTGCTCGGCACTCTCCGCCAAGATGGCCGCCCGCAGGTCCGGGTTGCGTGCGGCAATGTTGCGCAGCGCCCTAAGGCGTGGCGGTTGTGGTGAACAGATTGGGTGGGGTGAGGGAAAGGTGAGATGCAATGGTGGGAGCGCAGAGAGGGGAGGTGAGGGAGACAGTGAGAGCAGTCAGGGGGTGAGGGAGCGAGGCAGGATGGAGGGAGAGAGAAAGTGAGTGGATGGGTGAGTGAGGGAGTGGTAGACAGGGACACTAGTGGGTGGAGTGGATACTGAGATGCACACATGCGCACACATGCACGCACATGCGCACTCATGCACGCAGCGCATGCACAAAAGCCACGTGCTCCTTGCTCACCTGGCGGCGTTCTTCTGTAGACTTGCGCTGTCTGGGAACATGACCATGGCCTTGACAATGGCGTGTGCGCCACCAGCCTCAATCACCGCCTTGCTATTCTCGACATCGCGGAGGCACACCGCAGCAAGCGCAGCACACCCTTTGTCCTGCACGGCTGTTGTGCGGTGTGGAATAGCATGTGTAAGAGGGAGGGGTGCACAGAAGGAGTGTGAGGATGGAAGATGGAGGGAGAAGCACAATGAAAGGCCACTCAGCAAAAGCACGTTGAAGGTGTCGTTCAACACGTGCATACACACACACTCACACACATGGAGAGCACGCCTGTACACAGCACGTACCGCGCTGTTTGACGTGCCGGGTCATGACTGCGATGATGGCCTCCACACCACCCACTTCGCGAATCTTCGCCTTGACGTCGTCGTTGCCCGCAATCGCACGCAGCACCTGCAGCGCAGACACAGCAACCTGCACGCAACGCACACCCGAAGCATACACGACGCACAAGAATATATGGATGTGAGGGTGTTGCAGTGGCACTGACGCACGTGCACGTGCAGTGCAAAGAGAAATGGTAACACAAAGGAACCCCCAACTCACTCACACACACGCACGCACAAACACACACACACACACACACACTCTCTCTCTCTCTCTCTCTCTCTCTCTCTCTCTCTCGAACAAAAGTACGCGCACGAACTCAAACAAACAAACACACAAAACACACAAATCACCAAACACACAAAACACACACTCTAGAGCTCAACACACACACACACACAGAGATACAAGCACATACACACGCGCACAAACGACCAACCTCGACGCTGTCCTCGTGGGCTGTGAGCGATGGCAGGAGGAGCTTCAACCCGCCCAGGTCCACAATCTCCTGGCAGTATTCATTGCGCACGGCAAGCTTGGCCAACGTCTTGCACAGCTCGGCCGTGGTGGCAGCGTCCTCCGTAAACGCCGCCAGGGTGTTCATGATGCGGGCGAGGGCGCTGTGCTGGTTCACCATCAGCTTTGCGTGCTCGTGGCCCTTGCCAAAGGCAACGCGGATGTCGTCGTCAAAGGTGAGGATGCGCAAGCACCGGGCCGCCTCCCCAACCGCGGCCGGATGCTCCGTGTGCTTCTCCACGCAGTGCAGCAGAAGCTCAATCAGCCCCTCTGCGACAAACGTTTGCCGGTTTGTTTCGTGTTTGGTGCACGCGTGGCGGATGGCTGTGATGCCGTGCTGCTGGATGTGGCCCACGTGCTTGAAAGCCGTCATGTGCTCGCACAGCTGCTTGATGTGCTGGTGGTTGTCGTGGACCTCAGCCACGACGCTGTCCGGGTTGGGTGGTGTGACCAGATCCGGCTGCCCTTCTAGCAGTGCCGCGAGTGTCTGCAGAGCGACGCCCAGGGCGTGTGTGGCCTTGGCCTTGGCGTCCTCACTGTGTGGCGCATCCTCCGCAGCAAGCTGCGCCACGCGCTCAATGACGGCAAGCAGGGTGGTGAACCCGCCCTTGGCCCCCGCCAGCGCACGGTTCTCCTGTTCCGGCAGCAGCTCAAGCAGCTTTGATAGTGGCGCTTCCACTTCGGCTACAGCTGCTGTGACGGCGCTGTCCAGATCCTGCCCCTCGCTGGCTGCATGATCGCCCTGTGTCCATGTTTTCAGCTCTTCCAACAAGCCCACAGCCGGGCTTTCGCCTGCTTCTCCAGCTCCTACGGCTTCCAACGCCAACGCCTTGACAATGTTCGACAAGTCGATCCCTTTACGCGTTGGCAGTGTGCGTTGGTGGCAGCGTGTGTGTGTGTGTGTGTGTGTGTGTGTGTGTGTGTGTGTTTGTGTGTGTGTGTGTGTGTGTGTGTGTGTGTGTTGTTGTTGTTGTTGTTGTGGTGGTGGTGGTGGTTGATGTGTGTGTGTGTGTGTTTGTGTGTGTGTGTGTGTGTGTGTTGTTGTTGTTGTTGTTGTGGTGGTGGTGGTGGTTGATGTGTGTGTGTGTGTGCGTGCGCGTGTGTGTGTGGCATGTGCGTAAGAAAGTGTGCAGAGCACCGTGCAAGCATGGATGAGAAAGCGACGACACATGGAAGTAGCAAAGCGCAATCACCCACACACAGTGCTCTGAGATCTCTTGCATCCACCATGCCGAGCGTGTGCCGTTTGCTGCACCTTGCGCTGTGAATTGTTCCACTGCGTCGTTCACGGCCTCCTCCGGCGACATGTCAAATTCGGTGATGTTCTCCTGGACCACCTCATTGAAGGTGTCCTGCGTGATCTGCTTCTTCACCATGCCTGTCTGCCTACACTGCGAGCCGCTGCGCTGATGGACTGAAGGAGGTTTGTCTGTCTGTCTGTTTGGTTGGTTGATGTGATGTTGGTGGTCGTTGGTTGCTGTGTGTATTTTGGGTGTCGCGGACAACGTTGTCGTGAAAACTACCCGAAAATATGTAAAAGTTTCTACAGTGCCGAAAGCAGGAGAGGAGGGAGAGCTAGAGGAGGGAGAGGAGGGCCTGAGGGCGGTGGTCTGGTGGTGCTGTCTGCTCTAGTGCTCTGTCTGCTGCGGGTTCCCTTCAGCCTCAACAATCTCCCTTGCTCTTCTCCTTCACCCATTCTCAGCTTCTTCTCAACCCTCCTTCCTTCCCAAGTTTCCTTGCTCCTCTCTCAAAGTCTCAAGAAATAGCAAGAAGATCTGTCGGTCGTTCTGTCGTCTCGCTTGTCCGGTCGCAGCTGAGCGATGGTGTGATGATTCGTGTGTGATTTGCTGCAACTTTCGGTGGGTCTTGGAATTGTGGGGTTTATTTGCTCATGGCAGGCAGCCCATTGAAGGAAGGCTTGTTGTGTTTGATTGTTCACCACACACACACACACACACACACACACACACACACACACACACACACACACACATACACACACACACAACGCAACAGGGAATCAAAGCAGCACCCACCCGAAACGGCTGGTGCTCGCCTCTCCGCGCTCTCCACCCACCACCCGACCTTCTACCCCAACTGCAAGTTCACGAGAACAAAATACACGCGACGTACGCAGGCACGATGCAGGCCCACACGCGCGTTCTGCTGGTGCTGGCAGCGCTCTGCGTTGCGCGCGGCTATGCTGCCCAGTTCGCTGTTCAATGGGCACCGTCCGTTGACGATGCCACCTTTGACATCCAAATCTCCATCGGTACGTTTGTTGACCATTTATCCGAGTCGGGGAAGCATTCCCACGACCAAGGTCTCGTGGGGCACCCTTGACGCGTCTCTGCACTGGCACACACACGTACACACACATACACACATACACGTACATACACTCACACACATTCAAACACATGCATAGTCGCACATGTGGACACATTGATGTTCAACCATGCACACAGACACGCGCACACACAGAAATACCTTCACGTGCAAACACACTCACACCCGCACACAAACACCTTCACATTCACACACGTACGTAAACACACACACACGCATATTCACGCAAACATCTCTCCACAGGCGACACTGTTGTCTGGCAAAACATCGGTACGCGCCCGGAGTCTGTGACCGAGGTTCGTGGCACCGACTACGAGGGCATCGACGGGTACCTGCCCCCAGGCGATCGTTTCCGCTACACGTTCAACCGCCCGTCCTACGCACCTGGAGACGTTGTCGTCTTCGTCAGCCAGGCTGACCCCGAGTACATGCGTGGTACTATCACTATTGTCGGCCCAAGGTGCGTGGTGTGAGCGTATTTATGCGAGCGTGCGCGCAGATGTGCCGGTATGTGAACGTGCGTGTGTGGGTGCGTGTGCGTGTGTGGGTGCGGGTGCGTGTGTGGGTGTGTGTGTTGTGTGCTAAACTGCTGTGTTTGTGTGGAGTCCTGGCATTGGCAAGTGAGTAGGCGCCAGCGCCGTCCACCATGTCTGCAGCAGGTTCACCCCTGTACATGTTGAGATGTGCTGAGAAGATACTCATCCACCCGCTTCCCTCCATCTCCTTGCGTTCTGCTTGCCTCGCTGTCCCCTCTTCCTACTCGTTTCCCGACAGCACGACGACCACGACGACCACTACCACCACAACTACCACCACCACAACGACGACCACCACTACCACCACCACAACGACGACCACGACGACCACCACAACTACCACAACTACCACGACGACCACCACAACTACCACGACGACCAGCAGCTCCACGTCTTCATCCAGCGTCTACACCACTGTTGTGCAGAGCACGCCCTCGACCCGGGACGTTGGCATCGTTGTTGGTCCTGCCATCCCATACGCGGTACGAAACAATCATTTCCACGCGCGTGGCAATGTCAGCCAGCCCTTCGTTGCACCGTTCAATCTCAAGCCGTTCCCTCGTGTCGAATTTCAACCCTGCTTCCACTCGCCATGCCATGGAAGGGCATGACACGCTTGGCGTGGTGAAGGTCCTAATGTACCTGCAATCTGCCTTTCTTCAATGCAACAGGAACGCCGCTTCTGCGAGGAGGGCTGGGAGCTGCGCGGTGACAAGTGCCTGCGGTATGAAGCGAGGCGCCAGCCTTCGGCATACCACGCGCAGGTCATGTGCCAGCAGAACGACGCCTACCTGGCCACCATCCAGAGCCTTGACGACTCCATTTGGGTGCGTGATATTGTGCAGGAGAACGAGGACACCTCCTTCCCGTTTATCGGCCTCTTCTACGATCCCCTGACGGACGTGTTTGGCTGGTCCGATGGCGAGGAAGTCTCGTATGAAAACTGGCTTGACTCCACGATCATTGGCCCCGCCACTTGCGTCATCGCCACTGATGGCCTTCGCGGTGGCTCCTGGAAGACTGTCTCCTGCTTCGACCGCCGCCCATACATCTGCGAAAAGCCAGCAGGTGTGTGTGTGTGTGTGTGTGTGTGTGTTGGTGTGTGTGTGCGTGTGTGTGTGTGTGTGTGCTGGTGGGGGCGCGGCTTGATTGTCGTGGCTCTACCTGCGTTGATTTCCAGCCACCTCACGTTATATGTTGTGCACGTGCATGTCCTGTAGCCACCCGCTTCCTGTACGAGCTTGATATCGGCGTCGTGAGCGTGCCGTCGTTTGGTCCGGAGGTTGTCGTGGACATGATGGCAGACCACCCAGATGCGTGCCTGCGCGCATGCGATTCAAACGAGTCCTGCCTCCGCATGGCCATCGAAGTGAGCAGCATGGACGACAGCAAGGTGCAGTGTTTCGGTGACTCCAACGACCAGAGCACTGGCAGCACGCTCGACCTCACCAGCGTCGGCACCGTGTATACCAAGCTCCAGGAGATTGACATACCACCACCCATCATCACGGTCGGTCTTTCAGACGAGAGAATGTGTCCATGCGACGCAATCGCGTTGGTTGAGACTGTGTGTGCGTGCGCGCGTGTGCGTGCGTGCGTGCGAACAAGTGTGTGATTGTGTGCATGTGCATGTGCATGTGCGTGAGTGCGTACTCTGTTCTGGCCTTCAGTCCAGCATCAGCATAAGCTGTCGCTCACTGCCCGCTGCGTTGGCGTGGTGTTGTGCTGTTGTGGTGATAGTACTCTGTGTACGCGGAAGGATCGAATGGTTTTGCAACGGGCCTGCGACCTGTGAACATGTTCGAGTCTGCAGACATCCTCGACATCTTCTATGGCCTCTCTGTGGAGGACTGCCAAGCGGAATGCACGCACGTCCAGAACTGCGTCGGGTACGTGTCGTGATCACGCCCATCCTTGCACCTTGCCACAAGGGCTCGTACGTTTGAACACACGTGTGGGAAGGATGCAGCGACAACAACCCCCTCCCCCATATTCAACGCTGACTCGAACAGCCTTGCAATTCCTTCGATGTCCTCCTCACCCCCTGCACAAGTCTTCACGTACACATGCGCTCACATGCGCTCACACGCGCTCACTTTGCTTGCCACGCACACACATACACACACACTCTCTCATTTCCACGTACTCGCATGTGAACACGCCTGTGCCCCGTTTCCTGAATTGACATTCACCAACCACCCAACACAGCATCTTGAGAAGTCGCAACCCATCGTCCAACTACAAGTGCCGCCTGATGGCGCGGTTTGGCGAGCTCGTCACAACGCAGCTCATGGTCGACACCTACGAAAAGGTCATCAGCGAGCCCATGTAGGAGGAGAAGGGGGAGGAAGCACCCGAACAGCAACCGCGTGACAACGCGTCTTGTGCATGATTCACTTGACTTCCAGCCATTTCTTGTTCCTGTCTCATTGTTGTTTTGAACCAAATATGTACACCACAATGGTCCATGCGTGCACCCTTGAACTGATTCCCTCAGTGTATCGGCTTGTGAGGTCTGCATTGTTTCGTGTAGTGTAGTGTTGCATTGGGTTGCGTGTCGTGAGATTGTGTGAATGTGTGCACGTGTGTGACAGTTTGATTCAAATGAGTTGGTTCCGTGGCAGTGGCAGTGGCAGTGCGTGTTCGTTTGTTCCCATCTACCCACGATGAGTTTCCGGCCATGTCTTGCGTGCACCTTCGTGTCTGTGTGTCGGGGTTTCCTACACACTCATACGCGCGCGCGCGCTGTCTACAAGAACGCTGCACAGTTGGCAGTGGTCTGTTTTCATCGGTTTTGCTTGGTGCACTGCCCACTGGCACAGGTCGTACCATGTCTATTGGTCGCCTCATCTTTGTTGCATGTGTTTGGAAAAGAAAGCCCGCCATAATTTGTACATGCAACGCAAGCAGTGCAGCAGAAGGGCGACACGTGAACGTGCTCGTTGTATTGTATTGTATTTGTGACAGGGAGAGGAGGGGAGGGAACACAGATGGGCAAACATGCACGCGCGTGGGATGGATCACGACACATAACGAGGGCAAAGGAAGAACGAACACAAACGTGGTGTATAGATGTGAATGCATGTGTGCGCACGATCGCAAACAGCTGCTGCAACACACATGCACGCGCGTGGGATGGATCACGGGACATAACGAGGGCAAGGGAAGAACGAACACAAACGTGGTGTATAGATGTGGATGTATGTGCGCACGATCGCAAACAGCTGCTGCAAAAACTGTGACATCAATGAGCCAGGCAAAAGGGCCACTCGATAAAACCAATCAATACACGGCCCGGCCACCGGAGAGATCGAAGCAGAACCCCGTGTTGAACGATGCCTCCTTGCTCACGATAAATGCAACCGTTGCTGCCACTTCCTGAAGCAGGCCGCATCGCTTCATGGGTATCTTGTCCGTCATGTACTTGATCTGCTCCGGCTTCATTCCGGCAACCATGGCTGGCGGCGCGGGGGAGCGAGTGATTGATTGGTAGCGGCACGGCGTGTGAGGCGTGGGTGCAGGGCGACAGACATTCACACACACACACACATAGACGTAGACGTAGACGTAGACAAAGACACACGGACACAGACACAGACAGACAGACAGAAAGACAGACAGACAGACAGACACAGACACAAAGGCACACAAAGGCACACGAACACACAGGCACACAAAGGCACACGAACACACAGGCTCAACCTGTTCTGATGACGGCTGGGGCCAGCGCGTTGACGGTGATGTTGGTTTCTGCATATTCCTTGCCGACAGCCTTGGCCAGCCCAATCACCCCTGCTTTACTTGTCGAGTAGGCACACATGCCCTGGAGCAGCAGCGAACGACAGCGGACCAGGCAAGGTTTGAGGGCACTGAAACGAAAGGTGGAACGGAGACATGGGGGGGGAGGTCGAGCAGAGATGCAACAGCACAGACACGCAGACGCACACAGACACACACGCACGTACACAGACGCAAGCACGCACACACTCATACATACACATCACAGATGCTGGTGCTACGTACGGCGTTGCCATCTTTGCCGGCGATTGAGGCGATGAGCAAGATGCGTCCGTAGTCGTGCTTTGACATGAGCGGCAGGCAGTGTTTGGTCATGTTGAAGCTGCCTCTGAGGTTGACGGCAAGGACGCGATCAAACGCATCCCCTTCCACGTCCTCGATCTTGACACCGTGGGGCCCTGTAGCACATATTTGCATGTGCATGTGTGTGTGTGTGTGTGCGTGTGCATGTGTGTGTGTGAAAACACGTCTGTAGAGATCATGTGGCAAGAAAACGACACATACAAGACACATGCACACACGTAGCTGTAAGCGCACAAACGTGCAAGCTCACTTGGCACACACGTCGCTGTAAGCGCACAAACGTGCAAGCTCACTGGTACACACAATTTACACACACCATGCACACACAATTTACACACACCATGCACACACAATTTACACACACCATGCACAATGCACACAAAAATACACACCATGCACACAAAAGCACACACAGACACACACAGGCAGCCACACACGCCTTGCACGTACCAACGATGCCTGCGCAGTTGATCATGATGTCGAGACGACCGTGTGCAGCCTCTACCGCTGCAAGCGCTGCCTTGACGCTCTCTTCACAGGCCACATCCACCTTGTGACAGCTCACATGCTTGATGTCATGCTGGGATGCCAGAGCATCTGCCGTCTCCTGCATGGCGTCATCCTTGACATCGAAGATGCAAATGGTGGCGCCCTCCTTTCCCAACCGCTCACACACCGCTCTCCCAATCCCACTCGCCCCACCAGTCACCACAGCCACCTGCCCACTGAACCGCTGCGCCATCGTGGGAGCTGCTTGCTGGCTTGTTTTTGTTTTTGTTGGCTTGCAGAAAATCGTGTCAAGATATAGCAAACACGTTCTTCCACACCCACGTGGCGATTTTTCTTTCATGCCCCTTCTTTCGCGTCTTGTGCTTCTTCGCTCGCCTCGCGTCCCTTGCCTTCTTGTTCGCGACTTTTTTCATGTGGTTGGTTGTGGGTGTCGAGCCAAACAAACACTCCGCCTTCTTCGTATCTGTTCGCTTGCTTGGGTCTTGTGTCTTCCAAGCAAGCAAGCAAGCCATCGCACCGTTCTTGCGTGTGCTTCCTTTGCCTTGTTTCCTCCCTCCCTCCCTCCCTCTCTCTCTCTCTCTCTCTTTGTGCTGCTTGCTGAAGTGGCAGCGCCTTCCGACCACCAGGTTGCTGTCTTTGTGTGTGGAAGTCAGAATCACACCGCACACACACAAGACACACGACACACGATTGTAACGTCACACAACATCATCGCGGTCGGTCACTTACGGTGCACCACAAGCAAGCAATCCCGGCTCTTTTATTTGGTTGGTTTTGCGGGGTTGCACCATCGCACAAGGGCGGCAGCAACACTTGCTTTTGGCGGCTGACTTTTGGCTTTTGTTCTGGTTTGAGCCGCCGACCTACCTCAGTCACAACCACGTCCACGAAAAGCCACCTTCCGCGGGTGTGGTGCTACCTCTGACGTGAAGCATCGTTTCTTACCTCCACCCGTCTCAAGTGGAGCCACAACTCAAGGCACCCCAAGCCTTATTGACACACCCGTGTGTTCCCGATCCGCTTCTAGTTCCCACCTTGTTTCTGAGTGGTACACCACGCTCTTCTCAACGCGTGTTTGTTTTGAGGGGCCCCCTCAGCGAACTTGACTCAGCACCATCATCATGAGCTCCGAGAGCGCCAACAGTAAGTCCATGTGCACACACTTTGCGTGTGCTTGATGGTTGCGTGCGTCATGCGTGTGCGTGATGGTTGTGTGTGCGTGCCTCTGTATGCATCGCGTGTGCATCCGTATTTGCATGCCCTAGTGTGCTTGTCACCCCTGCATCGCGTGCGCTCACGCAGATGGCATTCAACTCGATTCCGTTGTCTGATTGTGGCGCACCCATACAGGCTCTCGGACGACGTTCGGCGACGTGTGGTTTATTGGTAGCGCACACGTCAGCCATCACAGGCGCAGCGAAGATGTTGTCGGAGCCATGCGCGGCCTGACTCAGCTCAACTCTCCACAGTACGTTCCATGCCGTTCTTGCTGCTGCCATATTGCCATCATGTGGTGTCTGTGCGTGCGTGTGTGCGTTTGTGTGGTGCGTTGTGGGGCATGTGTGTGTATGTGCTGCGTTGTGCCACGTGTGTGTGTGTGTTCTCATGTTGTTGTGTCGAGCCAATGAACGTGGTGATGAAAAGCACTCGTATCATCCTGAGCTCACGTGTGGTTGGCGTTGCTCCAACCCGCAACAGATACGTCGCTGACGCAGACGCCGTCCAAGTGACCTTTGCCATCACTCCTACACATGTCAAGTGCTTCACAACGAACAACAAGGTATGTTGCCGCTTGGTTTGTTTTCCCGCCAGCCTGCCGTGGTCGTCGTCTACATGGAATGTACACATGTGAAGGTTGGCGTGTGTGTCGATGTGTCGACTTGAATCCTTCTATCACCACTCAAGCCACATTTCACTTGCTGTGCTTTATTTAGGAGGAGCGCCTGTCTTCGCCGCTCCAACAAATATCCTACTCCTGCTGCGGTCCCGTGACAACAGAATTGAGGTGCGTTCACACCTCAAGTAGCAGCTGTGCTCTTTCGTTATCATATGGTGTTTGTGTTTTTGTGTTTGTGTGGTGTATGTGTTTGTGGTGTTTGTGTGTGTGTGTGTGTGGTGTTTGTGTGTGTGTGTGTGTTTCAGATTCGTCGATTGCATGGATCGTGGCCACGCATGATACACTCACTTTCACGCTCACACACGCTCACACGCTCCCTCACACACACACACACACACACACACACACCCTCACACTCACACCCTCACACTCACATACTGCAGGCAGTACTTTGCGTACGTATGTACCAACTTCATCGGGGATATGCCGCTTGGGTTTATCTGCCACGTGTTTCGGGCGCAAGACAAGGAGGCCGCCGAAGCGGTGGTGACAGCCCTGGGCGAGGTGTTCCGCGCAGCGCGGGAAGGCAGCAGCACGGACACCACCAGCGTGAGCGGGCGCTCCCTGCAGAGCGGTGACTCTGTGATATCGCAGACAAGCGAATCGCTGGCGTCGCGATCATCGCGGCTCAGCGGGCCCGCATCCGCCTCCATGGGCAGCGCACACGACAGCTGCGTCACCCAGTCCCCACCTGAGGAGAGCAAGAGCCTCATGTCGGCCGCTTCCGGCTCCAAGTCACTCGGTGGCGACACGGCCACACCACACAGCCACCTGGCACAGCCGCGACTGCAACAATTACAGCACCAGCAGCAGCAGCACCACCACCACCACCACCAACAACAACAACAACAAAATGACCATACACACCGCCACCACGAGTCGCAGGCGCAGCACAAGCGACAGCGTCACCTCCATGGGCCGTCTCAGTCGCCTGCGCAGGTGCAACGGCTCCGTGGCAAGGGCCACCGGCGCACGCGCAGCGAAGGCGCCAATTGGACCATCACCAGGACATCGAGTGCCGCCAACGTGACCGCTTCGGGACAGCCGACATCGCTGCAGGTGCTGGAGCAGCGCGCCGCGCGTATCCACGCCCGCCTCCGCGCCCTGTCCATGCTCAAGGAGCACAAGGACGAGGAGGGCCAGAAGCACGCGCGGTCCTTCACGGGCGACGCCATTGTTACGTGGCTCGTCTCCCAGAAGGAGGTGGAAACGCGCGCCGAGGCGGTCCAGTTTATGCAGACGCTTTTGAGCAACGGCGTGATTGATGCCGTGGGCGCCAACCCGCTGACCCAGTTTCGCGACGGCAACCGCCTCTATGCGTTTGCTGTCGACGTGAAGCGCGCGAACCGGCGACGCCGCCAGCAGCAGCTGCAGGAGCTTGGCCTGTCCTCGAGCGGGCGCGGTGGCGCTGGCGGACGACAGCGCACGCGCGTTGCATCGTGGCACGCGGCCGAGCTCTCTGGCAGCATCGAGTCGCTCGTGGAGCGCAACCGCAACGAGAACATGCCCTCGGACGAGCTCAGCCTGCACGTGGACACGAAGAACCCGCTGCTGAACAAGGCGCTTGTGAGCATCCGCACCAATGACGGTGACGCCCTGGCAGAGGTGCTGCCCGAGATTGAGAAGAGCGCATCTGTGGAAGCAGAGGACGACGACGGCGCCGCAACTGGCGCAGCAACCCCTGTTGAGGCAGATGGCTCTGCCTCTACCACGTCGACGACGACGCCCACGCCCACGCCCATGCCCACGCCCACGCACGGCGATGACCGTCCAAGTGCCGATGCTGGTGGCGGGGACCGCCCGATTTCCATCCCGCGCGAGCAAGTGCTGTCGCAGCTGCTTTATTTATCCCTGTCGGCAGAGGCGAGCCAGTGCACGGAGCACTTGCTGCATGTGCGATGCGTGGATGTGAACGCGCCACTGAACCAGGAGGGCGACACGGCCCTGCACCGTGCCGCCGCCTGCAACAACAAGGCGGTGGTGATGCAGCTGCTGGACAACGGCGCGGACGTCAACGCCACGAACGACAGCGGATGCACGCCGCTCTTCTTTGCCGCGCAAAAGGCAGAGAACCACGAGTGCAGCATCTTGCTGGTGGAGAACGGCGCCTGCGTGCGAGCGGTCAACGCAGACGGCAAGCGCCCGATTGACCTGCAGCCGGCGCTGGCAGAGGCGCAGCGCTGCCTGTGCCAGTCCATTGGCGATAACCTCGCTGGCGGCAACGACGAGCTGGGCTCCCTGCGCACGCTGGCGCGGCTGTCCATCAACCCGGAGACGCACGCGCTCCTGTGTGACGAGCTGAAGAAGGAGAAGGTGTTTGACGCCCTGCAAGCACTGTGTCAGCGCAACGCAGACGCGTCTGCCCTGGTCGAGGCGTACGTCCACAACTCGACTGCGCTCACGGGCCGCGGCCTGCTGGACGAGGACATCCTGCAGACGGTGCTCACGCTGATCCACGTCGGGGGCGAGGTGCAGCAGACGTGCCTGCACTCGCTCCTCACGGGCCTGCACGCGTTTCCAGACCAGGACGTGGACTTTCTCGTCTCCCTGGCCAAGCTCGACTTCTTGCCGCTCTTCACCATGGTGTGCGATGCGGAGGCCAACAAGCAGGTGCGAACGGACCTGAGCGCGCTGCTTGTGCTGCTGACGCGCCTGCCCAAGGCTCGTCGGCGGCTCTGCGCAGATCACAGCAATCTTCAGCGCCTCGTCTCAGCCGTGCAACGCGAATTCGCCATCATGCAGGCAGAAGAGGAGGAGGAAGAGGCAAACGGCCAAGGGCGCGGGATGATGGGCGCGGAAGCTGTTGGCAATGACGTGTTCACGTCTGCTGCTGCCGCTGCTGCTGCCACGGACATGCATTCGCCTGGCTTGGTCGGCATCACTGGCCGCCTGCATGGTGCGGATGGGGATGGCCAGTCCTCGCTCCCAGCCCCCGTGCCGAGCGTTGGCAATGGTGATACACGCAGCAATAAGAGCAACAACAACAGCAACAGCAGCACCAAGGACAAGGGTGGTGCCGTGGGCGAGGAGAGCTCAGAGGAGGACATTCAAGACGACGAGTTTGTGCACGGGTTCACGGAAGAAGACATTTTGCGCGCGGAGGCGCTTGAGGCCGAAGAAGCAGAGGCTATTCGCCGCGGTGACAGCGGTCGACGTGGCGGCGATAGCGATGATGGCGACGATAGCGACGATGGTGACGATGTGGCAAGCGATGGTATTGTGTGTTCTCGGCGCACGAGCATGGCCACGACGGTGCTGACGGGCCTGCCCTCGCTCACGGCGGGCCTCTTATCCAACCTCGTCAGCATGCTCTCCAACCTTTGCCATGACCTGGATAGCCACAAGGTGCTGGAGCAAATGGGTGTTTCTGACCTGTTGGGCAAACTCTTTGCGCAGCCCCACGCGGCCATCCACAACGAAGCTGTCCTCTCCCTCGTCATCCTCGGCCATCAAGGTGCTTTGATTCGGCCCATGACTCCACGTGATTGTGTGTGTGTGTGTGTGTGTGTGTGTGTGTGTGTGTGTGTGTGAATGCCACGGCGAAGGGCCTCGGCTATTTTTTTTTTGTGTTATCTTGGTATCGTGACGCACTTCCTTTCGTCCACGGTACTTTCTCATCTCACTCACTGTGCTGTGGCATGAACAGACGCTGGCGATGTGGAATTGCTAGCGCCTCTCCCAAACCCCGGCCCTCTTGTGCTCAACACAGATGAAATGATCATTGGTGAGCCCCAGCATGCGTAATTGCTCTTTCTCTTCTCGCACAATGTTCTTCTTCTTCTTTTTTTTTTTTTTTTTGGCTCTCTCCGCTGCTCTCCGCTGCTCTCCGCTGCCTTCTCGCCTGTGCTTCTCCTCATCCTCATAATCGTCGTCGTCGTCATGGAACCGCACGCTTCCTTCTCAGACCATGCTGCTTTCCTTCTCGTCACCTTTACACTCACCCCCACTTTCACTCACCCACCACCGACCGCCACCACGGCTGCATTCACCGATCAACCGCTACAACTTCCCTTCTGTTCGCCTTCGTGTGCGTTGCAGATGCGACATCTGGGCGTGGCTTGGCCGAAGATGATGGAGCTGGCGACTCGCCCATCGACGTGCGTTCACGTGCAGACACTGGCGCGACTACAACCACGGCCACCCTTTCGTCCACCCGCGGCTCGTTTGCTGCCCCAGCACCATCCGCCACAGTCGTGGGCGGTGCGGCACTGGGCGTGGCAGATGCCGAGGGCTTGTGGCACAAGCTGCGTGCGGGCAATCTGCTGACGTGTCTGTCGCTGCTGCTGCACCACAACATGCCGACCATTGCCACGATGGCCACGCTGCTGATTGTCCACCAGCACCACGAACCGCTCGTTGTGTTTCGCCTGCTGGCACACGAGTTCCGGCGCCGCGGCGCCATGTCTGCGGATGTGTTTACGACGCATGACGAAGTGGCAGTCACGCCGTCGCACGCGCGCACACTGCGGTTGCTGCGAGCGTGGCTGTTTGCGGTGCAGCCGCTGATGCATGAGCGCTCGGCCATGCAGGCGGAGGTCAAGGCATTTTTGGAGCACATGCGCCTGCTGGGCCCCGCGTACGAGGCGGAGGCGGCGTGCTTGCAGCAGGTCCTGCGCATGGCGGAGAGCAGCGACCCAAACCCGTTTGGAAACGGCCCGCGCGCGCTGACGGAAACGCGCCACCAGTCGTCGTACGCCCAGGCTGCGCACAACCGGCTGTACGACAACGCCCGCCAGCGTGTGCTCTCCGGGAGCATCCCGATTCCAAAAGACATTGCTGCGACCTTGGCTGCGGTGCAGCTGGTGGTTGAGGAGTCAATTCGCCGCAAGCTTCTGCCGCACCAGCGATTGCCGCCAGACGTCACGCCGGCGTTCAAGGTCAAGTCGATCATGCCGCCCGCCTTTGCGCGCGGGCGCGACGTGCCTGCCCTGATCAAGGCCGAGTTCCAGAACATGTGCCGGCAGAGCGAGCGCGACGCCAAGCACACGTACGTCCACCTGTACAACCTCTCTGTTGCGCACGACTGCGTGTACTTCAACGTGAAGCAGCCGACCGACTCGAAGCGCCGCATCCCGCGCATCCTGGGCATCTCACCGCAGTACGTGTTTGTGATTGACGCCAAGACGAAGCGCGTGTTGCACACGCACGAGATTGTGTCGCTGCGCCGGTGGGAGCGGACGCGGGACCGCTCCGGCTGGTCCATGTTTGGCGCCAAGCAGGCATGCCTCATCTTCTTCTTCAGCAGCACGGAGCTTGTGGTCTACGCCGACGACGCACTCGTGGAGGAGGTGAGCGAAACGCTCATGGAGAAGATCCAATCGCACCCGTGCCTGCAGCAGCTGAGGGATTCGGATCACCAGGTCCTGTTTCCCACGACCATCACCAACCCCGGCTCGAAGAAGCGAGGCGCGCACCCGCCCCGCCCCTTGATGATTACGCCCTCGCGGTCCAAGCCGGCGGCAGGCCTTGCCCAGTCGGCACCGGCGTCCGGCGTGCGCACTCGCGCGGGCACCAGCACAGGGGCCAGCAGGGCGCAGGCCGCGGCGGTGGCGGCAACAGCATCGACGCGGGCGTCAATGGCGTCTGCGATGACGGCTGCAGACGAAGGCGGCGACAAGCTGGGCGCGCTCGGCGGGGCTGCTGCCAACCGCAACCAGAACGTGCATGCTGGCATGCGGCTGCGGTCACAGCGAAGCGGCACGTGGACGCAGGGAACATCCACAGCGGCGGGCGTGGGCGGGCGGTCGTCTGTGTCCACAAGGCCGGCGGCGTCGTCGTCGTCATCGGCGGCATCTGCGTCGACAGCCGCCATGTCTCCGGGTGCAACGGCAGCGGCGGCGCTGCGGGGCCGAGGCGGCAGCGGGCGCTCGCACGACGAAATGTCTGACGATGCCAGCGATCTGGATCTAGACATGTTCACGCCAGCCGACGAAGTCGCTGCGAAGAAGAAGCGTGAGCAGGACGCGCCAAAGCCAGGCGAACCACAGCCACAGGCACAGCCACAGGCACAACACCGCCAACAACGACAGCACCAGCACGAAGATGCTTCACAACAGCAACAGCAACAACAAGGAAAGGGCCAAGAGCCGACCATGGGTGCGCAGCGGCGGAGCACTGCGCTGTCGCAATCACCGCAGCACGCCCAGTTCCGTGGGCGGGCGCACTCCCACTCCATCTCGCCACTGCACAAACAACTTCACGGTGGCAGCCGTGCTGGGCATGGTCCGGCTGGCAGCGGGTCACCGCTTCGCTCGCCGCTGTCGCAGCAACTGACGTCGCTGCTGTCATCACCTGCGGCCACGGGAGACAAGTCGTTCAGCAGCCTGCACAGCGGCAGTGAACGTGGCGTGTCGTCGCCAGAGACCAGCGTGCCAACGACGCCGCGGCCAGGGACGCCCATGTACACGGTGCGCAACACGCCAACAGGCTCTCGCGCCCACACGCCGACGCAGTCACGGCAGCAGTCCATGCCCACGTCGCCGCAGCTGGTGCGTCGCGCGGCAGCTCCTCCTGCGTTTTCACTATCCGTGTCACCACAGATGGCTAGCTCCCCTGGCACACTGGCGGCGGTTGCCCCTATGCACACGCTGTCCCCGTCCCGTCGGGCCGGCATTGCCGGCACCGGCACCGGGGGCGGTGCTGTTCCTCATCCGCAGCAGCCACGCCGCTCAACGCTGGGCGGGCCCATCAGCAGACCTACGCGCCAAGGCAAAGACGCCTCGCCCATGGCCACACAGATGGAAGGGGTGAGCGCAACACAGCCGCGGCAACAGCAGCACCAGTCGCAGCGCCAGCAGCGGCCACGGCGTCACAGCGATGCCGCGGCGTTTGTGCGGTCGCGCCGACGCCTCAACTTGGAGGATGACAGCACGACGGCTGCTTCTGTTCCTGGCGCAGGTGTGGATTCAAAGCCGCGGCGCTCATCGTCACTCGTGGAGGAGGACGAGGGCGATGTGGATGACGCACGCACCGGCAGCGCAGGGCAGTCGAAGACGCGGTCAGCCGGGCGAGGCCGCCGGAACAGCAGCAGCGATAAAGGCAGAAACAGCAGCAGCGGCGGTAGCAAGAGCGGCGGGGGCTTCAGGATGAGTTTGCGGCGCGCACGGAGCAAGAGCGTGAGCAGCGGCTCGAGTTGTAGCAAGAGTGACACCCGCGCGTCGTCGTCGTCGTCGTCCTCACGTGGCGGGGCGGGCAGTGCAGCTTCACACAAGACGTCTGATGAAAACCACCAGCGTCGTCGTCGTGGCATTGCTCCGGGTAGTGGCAGTGCAGCTCTCGACCGCAACAGCGGCAGCAACAACGACAATGCCAATGCCTCGGATGGCAACAGGGCCAGCGCCTCTGATGAGCGCGGGCGGAAGGACCAGCGCCAGCGTCAGCGCGGTGGCGACCAGCAGCCGCAGCCGCGTCACAGTGGCAGCAACAAGAAGAGCGGTGGTGCTCTCACGCGCGTGTCTGCGTCTGCTTGTGTTTTGTTTCCGACAAGCACGCGGGGCAGCGCCACTGCGACGACAGCCAGCGGAGGCACAGCCACGCTGGAGGTTGAGCTTCGTGGAAACATGGAGCTGTTGTGCGTGAATGAGCCTGCGGCGGTGCTCGCTGCCATGAACGTGGGCGGCAATAGCGGTCGCAGCAACGGTGGGGTTGGTGGTGGCCGCCCGAATCCGAACAACCAGCCCGTGCGGCGCGATCGCGTTGCATCGACGTCGCAGCCGCGCTCCAACATCTGCGGCTGTCCTGGTACGCCCATGCTGCCGCCAACGTTTGATGTGCAGCGCATCACGGTGCGGGCGCTGTTGGAGTGCCCCGTGGAGCTTGCGCGGCAGATGACGCTGATTGAGCACGACCTGTTTAAGGACGTGACCGTGGCGGAGTGCTTCCGCCGCATGGTGACGCCCGCGTCGCCGACGGCATCGTCGTCGCTGCCGTCGCTGCCGGGCCAGCACGCGGACGCGGTGGTGCGGTGCATTGTGCGCTTCAACCAGGTGACGTCGTGGGTGGCGACCATCATTTTGGACGAGGAGGCGCTTGAGCAGCGCTGCTATGTGATTGAGCAGCTGCTGCACGTGGCCCACCACTGCCACAAGCTGCGCAACTTCAACGGGGTAATGGCCATCATCTCTGCGCTTGGCACGGCGGCCGTGCGCCGGCTGAGCGACACGTGGGACGCACTGTCGGCCAAGGCGCTTGAGCTCCACGTGCGCCTGTCGACGGTGATGGCTGCGGAGAACAACTTCCGCAACTACCGCGCGCTGCTGCGGGAAACGGCTGCGCCGTGCGTGCCGTACTTTGGCATGTACCTCCGCGACCTGACGTTCCTGCACCAGGGCAACCAGGACTTTGCGCGGCGTGGCATGCTGAACGTGACCAAGATGCGGCTGCTTGGGTCGCTGCTGACGGAGATGGCGGCGTACCAGGCGGGCACGTACAAGCTCTTGCTTGTGCCGGAGATTCACACGTTCCTGCTGCATGTGCAAGGGAAGAGCGAGGACGAGCTGTTTCGCCAGTCGCAGCAGCTGCAACCGCCGACGCTTCGCAAGCTGCAGCGGTCTGCCTCTCGTCAGCGTCCGCCATCTGCTGGCCGCAAGCAGAGCCTGTCCCGCAAGCTCTCCAGCCACAACCTCTCCTTTATGCGCGGCGCGTTCAAGTGACACGGCGTGTTTGTCATGTGTTTTGTGTAGTGTGTTGGGTAAGTGTATTATTTGAGAAGAGTGTTGAAGTGAGTGTAAGTGAGTATGGGGGTGAGTACCAGAGTGAGTGAAAGTGAGTCGAGTGGGTGTATGTGTTGCTTTCACTGACCCTGTGCTTGTAAGTGGCGCGCGATTGTTTTGAATGTAATTTAACATAACAATTTGTTGGTTGGCGTTGGATGTCTATCGTGTTTATGCTGACCCCCCGATAGTGAACGCCTCACTCTACATGCCTCTTGAGGTTCAATTACATTATTTTATTGAATTGACGTGGTGAATGACAATTAAACGTGACATGCTTCCGAAATAACATGAAAGCAACGAGAAAGCAGTGAGAAGGGGCAAGGGACGGAGCAAAGAGATGTGGACTTCCAAGGGATGAGAAGACACAGACTCACGTGCAGAAACAAGCAAGGGTGTGGCAGACACACAAGCAGGCAGGCAGAGAGACAGAGATGGTCACACAGATGGAGAGACAGACACACAGACACAGGCACACAGACACAGACACAGACACACAGACACACAGACACACACGCACACACACGCACACGCACACACACGCACACACACGCACATGCACATGCACACACACATACGCTCAGCCGATCCATTCAACCCCAACATGTGGTGGGACGTGTGGCTGTACGTCGTTGCGAAGGAAGGCAGGCAAGGTGATGAAGCGCAAAGTGGTGTGCTGTGGGATGGACAGCAACAGCTCCTTACAGGCTGACGCGGAGAAGCGGTTGCCAGCAAGTGTCAGCTCCTGCAAGCAGCGTGTTCGCTGCAGTGCATGCTGCAAGTAACGGAGGCTGGCATCTGTCAGGCCGCAGTTGTGGAGGGCCAGGTTGTGCAACTTGCAGGACGCTTGCTCAGCCAGGTCGAAGAGCACCTTTGCAACTGAATCGCCGAGGGAGGGCATGTCCTCCAGGCTGAGGTCACGGATCTGTAGTCGCTGGACCAAGTTTCCCAAGGCCGCTGCGCATGAGGATGTAAGGCGGTTGTCTCGAAGGGAGAGGTAGTGCAGCTCTCCAACTTCACTGGTTCTTGACAACCAGGCCTCCACGGCGATGAGCCCGTGGTCTGTAATGTCGTTGCACGGCAAAGACAGATGGTTCACTCCAGTCTTTCCCAATCCGCGCACCAGTGTCTCAAACCCTGTTTTTCGTGCGTGTGTGTGCGTGTGAGTATATGTGTGTGTGTGTGCGTGTGTGTATGTGTGTGTGAGTATGTGTGTGTGTGTGCGTGTGTGTGTGAGTATGTGTGTGTGTGTGCGTGTGTGTGCGTGCGTGAGCAAGGGTGAGTGCGTGTGTGCGCGCAAACATGAAGCATAGTGGAACACAATGACAAGGCTCAAATGCAAGTGCACGCGTCACGTGTGTACCAGCGTCACGCAAGCTGCAGTGGTGCATCCAGAGGTTGTGAACGTTTTGTCGATCAACCAAATGCTGGCACAGCCAGGCCACAATCGGTGGTGACATGGCTTCATGCCTGCATGTGTGAGTGTGTAATGCCGTACGGGGCGTAGCATGCGCGAGTGTGAGACGAGGAAGTCAGGGAGCAACACTCAAGGATCAGAGTTGTGAGGGCAGAGTTGTTGGGTTGGTGAACAAACACGAGTGGAATGACAGCAGGAAAAGGCACACTCACATTGAATGCATACACGAGACGCAGACGCGCCTACGCCTATGTTTGCGGACACACACGGTTGCACGCACACTTGACTCACCTCAGGTCCGCCTCGCCGTCGGATGCCTGAGCAGCGTCCAGCGCGCGTCGCAGGCGCACAAGCTGTCCTCCCAGATTTGCGCTCATGTGTTTGTCGCAAAATTCAAAATGCAAGCAACAAGGGAAGCAAAGCGAGCAGCGAAGTGGATGTGAGTGTGTGAAGCACAAGAGCACGAGCATCATCCTCATCAATCATCACACGCGAAAACCAACACGCGGCAAGTGGCAAGCGCCAAGCCTTCCAGTCTTCCCTTTCTTTCCCTCCCTTCCGTCCTTCACTCCTACCACCACACTCTCTTCCCCGTCCGCTGTCCTCGATTTGCTTGGTTGCTGGTCGGCAGAAGGGTGTTGTTATGTTGTTGTTATTGTTGTTACGTTTGAACGAGGGAACGAACGAACGAACGAATGGCGTTTGGGATTGATACCCGCCAAAGACAAAGACAAAGACACATGGAGCGAGTTGACAAAGCAGCGATCGACGCTTTCCGCAACGGAAAAACTGGAAAGAGAAGACACACATACGTGGGAAGAGAAACAAGCTAACAGCAAGCACTCACTGAGCAGATGAACATTTCACCACGCGCAAACATACAAACATAATCCCCTCGACAAACACAAAGGAGGAATAAGGGAGGAAGCGCGTGGCTGATGGACACAGTTGGTGGTGCAAGTAACGCGTGAAAATGGGGAACAAAAGCAAACGTAGAAATACATGCACACCCCCACCCCAGAGGGTTCAAGTAACAACAGCATGACGTGTGTTGGTGACAGGCAGGGGCAAGCATCATGGCCTTCCAAGCAAGGTAAAGAACAATGCGGGTGATGGGCATGCATGCAGACTTGGGTTCATGCAATCCACCCTCCCCCCGCCCAAAAAGAACATCGTACGTGTCCACAAGCACGGTAACAGACAGACTTAGGATAAGCTCACCACTGAGATGAACCAGAGGGTGCGAAAGCGGTGCGGGACAAGAAGAAAGCTAACAACGAAGGCGACGCTTAAAAAGGGAGTACGCAAGAGCAGAAAAGGGTGCGCAAGCACACCACGCTCAAGACATTACAGTTCAGCAGCAGCAGCAGTATTTAGGCAGACACTCAAAGATGCACACATCGAAAGGAATGAACAAGATGTAGAAAAAAGGGAGAGAGACAACAACACCCAAAAGGGAGCAGGGGAAATGCAAGAGAATCAGAGGGTAGAAAATAGAACCGAGGAAGGAAGCGAGGGAGGGAATGGAGAACAAACAACACTGTGTGGCAAGCAGCAAGCGAAGCACAACGGCTCTGCGGGGTTGCGTGCCTGCGTGCACGCAGCAAGCTGTAACTTCACCACACAGACAAAAGTGGTGCTGCGAGCCCGGAGAGGGCATCGATGGCAAAGGAAAGGAGGAAAGAAGGAGGAAAGAAGGATAAAAGCGGTCAAACAGTTTGTATGTTTCCCCAAAGAACAGAGAGGCACATCAGTGGTGGCGCAGAGGATGCGCAACACCATACGACGGAGCGACGGAGAGGGGCATGAACGTGGGGAGTAGCAACTCCCAAGTGGAAGGCGCAAAACAAGCACCCACCCCCCTATTTCGCCTCACAGAAAAATGGACATTGTGCTTTGCACAGGTTCTCTGCACACGGGACACTCGGTAATCTGCTCTGCACACGAGGCGCAGAGACAGGCGTGGCGGCAGGGCATGGAGCACACCGACACTTTGTTCTCCAAGCACACCTGAATGTAGAAAAGAAAAACGTAGAGAAAAAAGGGAACGAGGTGAGCCAGTTGTGTGCGTATGTATATATGCGTGTGTGTGTGTACATGTGAACCTAACCCAGGGCCTGGGCGATCAACAGCCCAAAGACATGTGTGTGCGGGCAAGCAAGCGATGAGGTGTGGTGCGTAGGGAGGGAAAACGACGCACCTTGCAGTTGATGACCATGGCCTTGCCGTCTGCGTATGCCGAGCGCTTCTCTGCGGTGACAATGGCATCCTGGATGTCGCGGACGGCGGCATGGTGCATCGACTGGAGGCGGCGCAGCTCGGCAGTGGACATGGATGACAGCTGCTGCGAACCCTGTACAGACGTGCGGTGTGACCAGCGAGCGAGTTGGCCGTGGGGGGGGGAGGGAAAAGGGGAATGAGATGGTCAGGGGACGAAAGAAAGAGGGAAACCGCAGTGAACACACACACACACACACACA